ATTTCAGATTTCTCGATATAATTCTTAACTTATTATGAAATCAAACCCCATATATTAAGGAATTCTTCCAAATCAAAGCCTTGTCCAGCAATTTATTTAACAAATTCATAGATTTCCTTAATTTTCCTTTTAATACTTAATTCAACATATTAATTCAAATATTCATTTTATTAATCTTCATTAAAATTTTATAACTAAACCTCTTTTAAAAATTATAGACTTTATCCATAAAACCAAGTTTAATATCCAACTGTATTAAGTATTTCTTTTCTTGTTGTTATAATAACTTTCATCTATATATTAGTTGTATTAAATTCTTATATCAATTTATTTGTCAAAAGTAGATTTGATTAAATACAATCTTATTTCATCTCATCATAACTGTCAAGTATTAAAATAATGAATTCTTTTTAAGTTTATATAGCTTCTCTAAATTCTTTTATCTAATATTTATCAAATTAATAATTTTCAGATTCTAATGCTTATTCAAACAAATTAAATTTAGGATTCTTAAGAGTTGGAAGTGATACATATATTGGAATCCATTTTGATTAAGTTCCTTTTTATTTCCAAAGAAATTCTTCAATTTTTCTAGCTGCTTTACTTTTCCCAGAACCTGCAAATCCTGAAACTAACATTACATCTTTTTAACTATTTTTATCCCAAATAAATTCATTTACTTCTCCTTTAAAGTCATTCTAATACTCACTCAATAATCTAGTTATAGTTATATCACCATCAGATTTGATAATTTACCCACTAATAGGATCATATTCAATAGTTGTTAATTAAACATAAACTGAATCTACTTCAGTTAATTTAGATTATAATAATATTTTTTATTTTCTTATTTCTAATAATTCATCATATCTCTTTCCTCTTAGTTTACGTATATCATCACCTACTTAATTTATACTCTCTTATAAATTATCAATTGAAGCTTTAATTTATTTTACATCCTTTGATATATCTTTCAAAAATATAAGACTAATGTCCATTTTCTCTGACATCTCGGAAATATTATCTAAAGATTCATCTAATTCGTCATAAGTCTTCTTTAATTAAATTTAAAGTTCCTCTCTTTTTTATAAATTTCCTTCTAGCTTGATTTCTTATTGTAGACTTTCTAACTTTTACATTCTTTACTTCAATTCATTTTTAATTGTCAGTGACAAATTATCTAGATACTAAGCAAATAACTATTTCTAAATTTCAACTAATTCTTTATTTTTCAATAAATTTCTAACTCTTTAATCTTTTTCAAATACCCAGATGTATTGTAGATATTGGCAACAGAAACCTTTAACTTTTTATTCTTAAACACTATATTAAAGTCTAATTAGGCTGTAGACAAATCCTTCTCTAACCTTTTGATCAGGTTTAAAATCTAACAAATCAACCACCTTGTCTTTAGTTTCCTTATAAGTATTTTTTATATCCTACCATATAGAGTCATCTATTTTATCAGCTTTTAATCCTTTTTGATATTCAGAATTAGATAGAGAGTAAAAAAACTATAAAAAGTCTGTAAATTTTAATTTAATGATAGGTTAATTATTATTTTTAAATTGAATTTCAAAGTTGTTAAACAGTTTTTCAATTGAGTCTTTTACTTTTTAATTAAAATGTTTCTCTCTCATCTCTTTTATTTTTTCAATCTAATTCAATTTATCTGGTTAACTACTTAGCTATTAGTTCTGTTAATCTTACTCTATTATTACTTTATCTTTTATAATATTCTTTTATTAGAGTATTAATTCTATTTATAAAATTAATAGTTTTTCATAAAATTTATACTATTTTTTGATTTCTTTAATTGATATAATTAATTGTTGATCATCATCCAAAATTTTATTAAACAAAATAAGAGATGAATCATTCAGTTATTATTCTTTTTCTTCTTTTTCTTTATTTTCTTCTTTTTCAAATTTTTACTTAGTTATTTTAGCTTTTTGATTAAAATCATTCAAACTTGATTGATAGCTTTTCAAAAAACCTTATTATTTCGATAATTCTGTATTCTTATTTAATATTTATAGAATTATGAATTATGCATTTGTTAACAATTAGAGTATTGAATGGTTATTATCTTAATTTTCCTATTTCTAACATTCACTTTTAATTAAATTAAAATCAGACTCTATTTAACTTAATAGACTTTTTAAATTAAAATCAGTAGTCTCTTAATCAGATTTATTGAAATCTTCTATAATCAGCGGTTCAATTTTTTATAGTTATAAAGTTAAAATATCATTAATAGTTTGTTTATTATCGACATTCACTTATTTTTAAGTTAAATTGGTTTGTTAATTATAATTTTCTAGTTATTATTTAATAATCATCATTTATTAACTTTATATATTAATGAATTATTTTAAGAATTATAAAGTTATGATGATTGACTTACAATCAATAAAATTTTACTATACATTCTCTAGAGTTCTTAATTCAGAATCAAATAATTGATATTTTTCCTTCCATTTTTATAATAATAATTGATTGATACTCTTATCTTTATATTAATAATATTCAATTATTTATAAGGTGTTCTAATCTTATATTTAAATTGTCATAGACTTTATATCTTACTCCTTTTGAATAAATTTTATAAAATTTTCTTTATAGGATCTTAAATTTATGTAAAATTAAGTAAAGTTATTTTCAAATGTTGTAAATATTTTTTTAAATTTATCTATTTCAAAGCCTAAAAACTTCTCTTAAGATTTGTCAGTATCAAGTTTCTTAATTAATTTTTCTAAATCTTTTTAATTTTTAGAGTCTAAAAATTATTACATTTCATGCGTAATACATGCAAATTCAATAGCAATCAAGAAGTTACTTAAAAGTTGATCAATAAATTCAATAAGTTCTATGTTTTAAAAATTATCAATCTTTGTTTTAAGATCAAGTAAATTCTTTTGATTTTCTAAATTTTTAAATTTATCTAAGTAAGGCTTAAGCAAATCCAATTTAGAAACTTCAAATTTAGATAATTCTTTAAAATAATTAGATAAAATGATCAATTATTTATAAGCCTATAAGAATTGCTTTTAAGTTGCTTGTTAATCATCTTAAATAATCTATAATAACATTTAAGATGGTTCTTTAAAATAAGTTTAAAATGATTCTATAATACCTGAATGAATTGATAGTAATTCATCTTACTAAGATTTTAAATTGTTAATTAATTTTTACAATATTTCGATTTCATAACTTGCTAATATGATTTCATAATCTTCTTATTTTTTATCTTTTTACTTTTTAAATGTGAATTCTTTATAATAGTCCCATTAATTTACATTTTGAGTTAGATCTCCTTTTAAAAGAAATTAATTAAATAGTACAAACTTTTTCTTACTAAATTTATCGAGTTCTCTAGTTAATTCAATATCATATATTTATTTTTCTTAGTCTAAAAACAAATTCATAATTGCCTCATCCTAATTAGGTGAAACACAATTAATCAAATTATTTTCAATTAGCAGAGTCCATTTAATTAAATATTAGTCTTATTAATTCATAGATATATCAGATTTATTTATGATAGGACGATAGGCAATAATATCGATAATCATTTATATCCAACTAAAATGTATAATCCAATTATCAGACACAAATATATATTATTAAAAAATATCTTTTAATTATGATATTTATTTGTAAACAGAAAGTTGAGATTTTAATGATTTTATGATTGACCATTTTATCAATTAGAATAAGTAATAAGTTTAATAAGTTTCTATTGGATATAATTTTTTTTCAATTCCTTTTTTTAAAAGATACTTGCCCCCTTCCATTATTGTGGAAAGTAAATCTTCAGATGGTGATAATGATATAATTGATTTTCCTGCTTCCTTTAAGAAATTTATTAATGCATCTTATCCTTCAGTAGAATCAGTTTTTTAATTAATAATCATGATTTTCATAATTTTAATTTCAAATTCAAATCCTGTTTTCCAAACATTTGCTTATTCAATTTCTAATTATGTTTCAAATTCTGATAATTTTTATATATAATTTTATTTATCTTCATCTTTTAAAAATCTCTTTTATTCTCTATATTAGAAAATAAACATAATTCTTAACAATTCATTACAAATCTATAATATTTAATAACAAATAAATCCAGAGTTTCTTAAATAGGTGATAAGCACTGTTAATAAAGTTTCAAAATTTGTTTTAGCTAATTCATAAATTGTGGCAACTGCTTATTCGTCACAACAATAATAATTCAAGTATTCTCTATTATATATAAACCATTATATTTTCTTAATTACTTCATTTCTCTTATTTGTGTCACAAAAGAATTGAGCTTCATCTACTATCAGCTTAAGGCATTCATTAAGGTTTTTTTCATAATCTATGGGTAATTATGCTGAAGTCATTTAAGTTTAATCATTTTGTAATTGTGAATCCATTTTCTTTTTTGTTTTTGATTATCCACATCCTCCTCCTCTTAATTTCTTAAAATCATTGTTAGCACAATATTAACAATTAAAATTACAATTACTTAATCTTGTAAAATACGATGATAAATTATATTCAATATTCATCATAAATTTTTAACAGCTTTAAGTTTAAAGCATTTTCAAACTCTTATTAGTTTATATTTTCTTGTTTTTTTTCAAGCAATAGGTCATCATTTTTAATAATGAAAATTATAATACAATATTAATTGCAGTTATAAATATAAGATTTGAAAATTATGATATTTATTATGTTTTGCCTTTAGTGAAAAAATAATGTTAAATAAAATACACATGCCAAACAGATCTTCATTAAAATAATATTGAGCTAGTTTAATCATAGATGCGTTACTAATATTTTTTGTAAAACAATTTTAAATATACATATAAAATATTTTGTATTCTTTTATACAATATTATGTAAAATATTTAGTCTATAACTATTTTGTAAATGATTGGTTTTTGTAAAATATTTATATTTATATTAAATAAATAAACATTATTAATATTATTTTATAAATAATTATAATTAAAATGAATTAAAATTAAGACAGTCATGTTATTTATCAAGAATTGCTCACTAGTTCATTAAATAAGCTCCTTAAGCTTCTTCCAAAATAAATGGTTAGTCTTAAGACATTGATTGATAAATCATTAGGTATTAATAATTTAATAATAAGAGCAAATTGAATAGACAAAAAATGATGTTAATAGGTTTGCAACAAATGCCAATAAGTATTTCATCATCTATAAATATTGTATCGATATCAAACATAATAAAATTACTGAATGTTGCCTCTATGACCTTGAAGTATAATTTCCCTCTATTTTAAGAAATTGATATCCTAAAACTTTATAGATGGTTATTCTTATGATTACTTAGAATTTGAAAAGGGTAAATAGAAAGATAGGATGCTCATAGATTCAATTGTAGAATCCATAATAAGCTGTACTAAATTGTAAGATGAAAATTTACATTATCTCATTGTAAAATGCATAGATGCTTTATTTAAATAATAAAGATTGCTTATTAGTGGAGAGACATTATTGTCTACATTTAAAGCTTATTTACATCTTTATAAATTAGGAATGGGTTCCATAAAGAATAGTATCAAATAGGCTATAAAGAGTGTATATGACAATAGTCAAGTAAAAGTTGATATGGAAAATATGTTGAATAAAGGTTTGTCATGGAATTCATTTTATGATGAACCTAAGGAGATAGAAGAAGTAGCAATATCAGATGGAGATATTGTTGAATATGTGTCAATCACATTGAGACATATGGTAGATGATGTTATTTTATACAATGAAAGAATAAAAACTGGATAAGCAAATATTCCTATAGCATCTGTTCCTTAAGCATGGGAAGCAGAAGATATTAAATACAAAAATTATATAGAAGTAAAGGTTGTTGAAAATGGAATTACATCAGGAAAATTTGGTTGGTGTATTTTATGTAGATAACCAGCTCCTTATTTTTGTAAAGATACTAGAGTGCCTGTATGTTCAGTACCTTGTAAAAAGAAACATTTCGAAATGATTGAAAATATTAAAATTATGTAGAGTGGATAATAGAGTAGGAATGATGATTGTTAAATCATTTTCAAATATTTATCATCAAAAGCTAATAAAGATAAAAATATTAAGAAAGAAGTTTGTTTAGATTTTATTCTATATATTGTAGAATCTTATCCATTACATATTTAATCATTAAATTTTGATGAGAATTTTATAAATATGATTTGCTTAAATTTGAAAAATAAAAGAACATCAACTACTACATTTAAAATATTATTATTATTAATATTTCATGCAAGAGATCTCTTATAAATACAATTAGAAATTATATTTGATTTTGTTATTAATAAATTACCTTCTGATTAAACATCAGCTTTTCTTGATTTTACACTTTAATTAATTGAGTATCCAAAATTAATATTAGAACTCTTTACAAATCATGATTGTGTAATTGAAAGAAAGAATGTAGTTTAAACATTATTTGAGAAGGTAGCTTAAATTGCTTAAGGAGAGTAAACTAATTAAGATAATTGTCTTATTGCCAATAGTATTATTTAAAAACATCTTCAATAATTTATAAAACTAGTTTAAGAAGAATAGAATAATAGTATTGCTGGTTATAATTCAGAATAAATAGAGGAATAAAATCATGATTAATTAAAAAAAATGATAAAAAATATTGAACATTTTGATCAGTAATTTAATTATATATATAAGGGCATGAAAAATAGTTAACGTATAAATAATAGATCTTGACAGGAATGTAAAAATTTGCACTTAATTGGAAAGAAGGATTAGAATATCTAATAAATTAAGGAATATTAGAAGAAAATAAGTATAAATTATATTAATATTTAGTCATGCTTAAATTGCTTAATTTTTACATGATAATCCATTTAATAAGGAATAATTGGGATAATTCTTTGGTTCTAGTAAAGAGAATCATTAATTAATATTTTAAATCTATTCATAATCAATTGATTTTAAAGGATAACATATAGTAGATGCTTTAAGGAAATATCTTAATTATTTTACATTGCCAGGAGAAGCATAGTAAGTAGATAGATGTATGTTGGTATTTTCTTAGAAATTTTTTTAAGATAATCCTGGTGATGTATTCAAGACTAGTGATGAAACATATGTCTTTTCATATCTGTTAATTATTTTGTAGACTGATATCTATAATAAATCAGTTAAAACGAAAATGACATTTTAACAATTTTGTAAATCTTCAAAATTATCTATGGAAAGAGATTTAGGGGAAGAATATTTGAGATATTGTTATGATTAAATTTTATAAGAACCATTAGCTATTCATTCAAGTATTGAAAAGTAGTAGAATTCTCAAATAAATTGGATGAATTTGGAGAGGAAATCATTACAATAGAAAATCTATATTTTTATGCCTCGAATAGATTATATAAAATTATTTATGGAAGTATTTTGGCCAGCTTTATTTGTTAATTTGAATGTAACAATTGAGAGAACAGAAAATGTGTAAATAATATCAATTGCTATGTAAAATGCTACTTATACACTCTAATTAATGAGTATGGTTGGTATTTGTGATCTATGTTAACAATTCATTTAATGGTTATGTTAATTGGCTTCATTGGAAAATAAATAATTAAAATAAAAAAATTATAAGGCTTTATAGTGTATAATAGATTTAGCTATAAAAAATGGTAATGCTTTAAAAAACAATTGGAGACCAGTACTGGAAATAATTAGTTCAATTAATTATTTATTAAATGAAAAATAAAAAGGTAAAATCCTATAGGAACCTCTAGAAAGTATAAGCAAAAATATTCAAAATATAATTGATATTTCTAGTATTGATAAAGTAATGTAGAATACAAGTAATATGGACTCTAGAACTATATTGGATTTTTTATAATCTTTAATTGATGTGTCTCTAAATGAAATTACATTACCAGAACCAAGGATTTTTAGTTTATAGAGATTAGTTGAAGTGACTAGTTTTAATATGGATAGAATAAGATTGATATGGATGTAGATTTGGAATTTATTGAAGGCTCATTTTGTTACAGCTGGTATTCATGCAAATTCTGATATATCTTTATATGCTTGTGATCAATTAAAATAAATGAGTGTAAAGTTTATTTAACAATACGAACATAATAACTTTAAATTTTAAATGGAATTTCTATAACCATTTGAATTAATATATGCATAAACATAATTTTCAGAAGTAAAAGAATTTATATTATCTTGTATGAGAATGTTAGCTCATATGTGTTATTATAAATTGAAGAGTGGATGGAGAGTAGTATTTAAAATAATTAATTAATCACTATAAGAATCTATAGTGTTAGTAAATATATCAATAGATGTCTTAAATAAAGTATTCAGTGAAGATCTAATTAATTTAAAAGACATTTTTGATGAAATTGATTAAACATTTTAATTTCTTTTTAATCGAGAAGAATAACATGTTTTATTGAAGGGAATTGAATATGTTCAAAATGCAGTAGATTCATTAATGAAACATGATAATAATTTGTATTATGCATTTTGGATGCAATCATTAGCTCATATATGCAATTTATTCTAAAATAATCAATAATAAATTTAAGAATAAGCAATTCAATCATTTTTTAAGATATTAAAATCAAATACACAAAATATTAAAGGACATTAATATGTATAAATAATGAAAGGAATGATGAAAGAATTATTTGTTTCATTAAGCAAAGCTAAAAAAGAAATATGTCAAATGGCTCATAAAAGTCTATTAGAATTAGTGTTTGATCATGATATAAAGGAAGCTTACAATGAAATATCAACTATTTTATTAAATAGTACATTCTAAACTAATGAATATTTGGCAAAAACAAGTGTAATGACATTTAAATCAATTATTATAAAGGAAGGACAGAAATTGGATTGGAATTAAACTATTTAAATTTTGGATTTAATGGTTTAGAATACAACTCCAAATGTTTTATTTGAAGCAGCATAATTAGATTAATCAATTATAGATGATTTATTAAGTTTAAATCTACCAAAAAATTAAATTAGATTAAATTCTGATTAATTAACTTTGAAATGCATTTTATAATTAATGTTAATTGATATTATTTAAGATATAGTAGATCATCATATTAAATTACTTAATGAATAGACTTATTAATATCTATTAAATATTGCATAGAATTTATTTAAAATGTCATTTAGATTTAATAGATAAATAAAATTAAGATATTTCTTATAATAATAAGGATTTATGCCAAATTTATAGTAATTACCTGGTTTAATTAAATAAGAAAAATCATCAGCAATTGGTATTTTAAATCTACTTCATAAATAATCTTTAGTTAATGAAGTATTATTAAAAGATTTGATTTAATTTATTATTGAAATTTTAGAAGATACTAAATTATTAGGATAAATATAAGTTAACAATTAATTCAAAGGAGAATTAGAAAAAATTATTATAAATAATCTATCTATAATATAAATGAGTGTAATACCAATTTTAGATAATTTAGATTTAAAAAAAGTAATTTAATATATAATTTATAATTTAGATTTAAGATAAAATAAAATCATTATTAAGTTATTTTGTTTAATTACCATCTTGTTATTCACTATTAGTTAGTTAATGTCCACATTGTTAAACATGTCCATATAAATGTATGTAGAAATCAGAGTGGAAGAAATTATTTGAACAAATTTAATAATTATAGTTGAAATTGATAAGTTAAATATGAATTAATGAATATAACATATTTAATAATATATGAAGATATTAATTATAATTTCACTTCTTCTTTTTCTTTTTTGGTCTCTACATAACAACACTTTCTAAAGGAAGAGGCATTCTTAATCCATCATCTTTTGGATCTGTCATTTTATTTATTGTTCGAATAATATTTACTTTTGGATACTCATTTCTTTTTTCTTACAAGAATGCATCAGATATATCAGGAGTAAAATTAATTGAAATAACCTATAAATTAGGTAATGCCTTTTTTTAATTAATATATTTATAATACTTTTAGTATTCCTTCTAATCCTTATTCTCCCAATTTACTACAATTATTAAGTTCAAGCATTTCAAGTTTATTACATGATTATGCAAGATATATTAATGTATTGTCAGCAAGATATTAGATTCCTCCTAATTTAAGTTATTTAAGTTTATGTAATGAACTCAATCTACCTACTGAAGAATCACTAATATTAGTTGATCCTGATAATATAAGAGTATGAATATTTGTACAAAGGGAAGTTGCAGAGATAACTGAATCACTAATATCTTTAGTAGGAATGAAAGACAAATCTAAATATTCCATTTCTGTTTTTGAACGTGAAATTAATTCAGATAATAAATCTGCTTATAAGTTTTCTACTGTTGCTATTTAAAATTCTTTTAATTTACATCCACTTTAAAGTAGATATTTTGTAAAATTACTTGTTAAATTATTACAAAAGGAAATGCTAATTCTTTATAATAATGGAGCATTTTATAATGGTTCTAATGAATAATCAGTAATTGATTATAAATTACTAGCACATTTAAAACCTTATAAATATTTTGAAGTATAATCCAAAAAGTTTCTAATTCCAGTTTCAGTTAATTTTTAACATGATGACACATCAATAACTTTTAAATTTTTACATGATTTTGCTAATTCCATTAATATATCATCCTCTAATTCTGTATTAGATAATACTAACTCTTCAAGATTGATAGCAAAATATCCAATTTTGCTAATTTGTTCCATTTTCAACCAAGTATGATTATGTAAATTCAAAAATTTTAATTTAGGATTTAAGGCATCTTAAAGATTCTGTTCAGAAAGTATTGAATTTGGTAATTTCTATATTATATATTATTATTTTATAATACCTTCAAATGTCTAATATCTTCATTCTCATATGATTAATTATATACAACATCACCAACTTAACGAATGGTTCTAGTAAAGTTTTCATTTTATTCTTATTTGAATTAACTATTGATTGGTTTAATATTCAAATATTGATCATATTCTTTATAAGTTTAATCATATATAAGAGCCTTTGATTCAGGTTTTGCTGTTGTTAATTATTTAAGTGTCTTCTTAAATCCAGGAGGAGGAGCACCAATATCTTCAGGAATTACAGCTTCTTTTGTTAACTGATAATTTGTAAATGGCTTTATTAGTTGATTATTTTATTATTCCTAAATTATGTATAAGAGTAGTACTTTTTTACGTTTCTAATAAAGAAAATCAAGATTGTCATCATATTCTTTTGGTTTTGGTTTAGGCATAAATTAAGGATTCTAAAGGACACGAGGATAATTCATAGAACACCAACCAAGTAGACTACTATGTTGATTGAAAGCAGGAAACTAAACACGTTCAATGTTTTTATTGACAGTTTCCTTAATAGAGAACTCTTTATCATTTTTCATTTAATAAATTAATCAAACTGTTATATTCTAAATTAAACTTGGGAAATCGTTGTAGTTTCTATTAAATACTTGAATAACCTCTGTTAAAATATCACTTTATTAAGTTCTAGAATTTAATATATTAAAAATACCTAATCTTAGTAGCTTCAACATAACCATTATGATAATCAACACAAGTTCTTTCCCAATCATCTTTTTATTTTCTCAATAGAGTAGATTTCTATAAATATATCTATTAATTTTCTTACTTCAGTATTGAATCTAATATCATTATTTAATTCAAGTATTGTTTGATTTATTATTAAAACTCTTGCTTTAAATGTTGCAATAGTTGCTTATAATCTTCTATTCTAAATAACTATTCTTTCTTTTTAATTTTAATAATCTTATTCTCTTGCATTATCTTCCAATAATTCTTTCTTCAAAAGATCAAATATGCTTTCAATTAATTCATCTATTATCTCTTAAATTTTTGCTACTCCCTATTAATTTGCTTATATTCCTGGATCTCTAATAAATAAAAATTAACATATTACTATGAAGTTTCTAAAAGTAATTCATATAATAAACCAATTCCATTTGATTATTTTTTTAATTACTTTTAATGTGCTTCTAATTCATTAAACATAAATTATGAAAATTCAAGGAATGAATAAGTTCCAGCTAATGGATCCCATTTTTTTGTACTTAATTTACTAATTATTCTTTTCCCTTCTTATAATGCACCTATCATATTAGTTAATTCATCTCTTCTTGATTCATATTATTACTAAATTAATTTATCATATATTTAATACTCTTGTTAAATCTCTTTAATCTGTTAATTCAGCAATACGTTAATTATTTCTATCTTCAATTTCTTATTTATCTAATAATTATCTCTATTTATTTTTTTATTCTTAAATAAATAATGGTAATGTTGATTAATCTTTAGCTAATTAATATTCAGATGAATCTATAACAAATAATATTTCATCATATTTGTCATCACAAAATTATGTATGATCTCTTGATTTCTATCTTTCAACATCTTGTTCTCCATTAATCCTATCCTTCATTTAAGTGAGAAGTTCAATTATTTTGTCTACACTACTATTACCTTCTAATTAAACTTATATAGTTTGGATAATTGTTTTTCCAAATTCACTATTTTGTAATGTTTACAAAAGTGTTTCACTCTCATTCATACTACTTGCAAATATTACAAGTGAACATAATAATATAACCTTATACATTATTATAAATAATTAAAACGGATATGTGGTATAATGTATATTATTCATTTATATATCATAATATAATATACTTAATTTCTTCATCTCTATCATTCCTACACATTGAAGCTTTCCTTTCTTTATCTATTTGTACACTTGATATCTTACAATTAAATTAAGATTAAATGTTTCATTTTAGTTTTAAAATATATTATCCTATAATTCTTGTTTTAATTGTATTATATAGAATAATAGTAAATGAAAAGTTATCTTCAATTTACCTTAAAATTTAAATTATTATAAAAAATGTGCCCATAAAATTTTAATTGTATAGATTCTAATTGAATGGATTAACAAATTTACAATAGATATTATACACATAACAATATTATCATAATATAGCAACTATTTTGCTTTTCAATATATAATAGAGGAAATATAGTCTTTTTTTGTAAAGTATTAATAAATGATAATGAATAGAAATAAACTAATTGATATTTTAAACTTGGTAATCATTCTTATTTTACCTTCTTCTTTTTTGTAGAATTGTTCTTCTTGACAAAAGCTCTTAAGACTCCAACCTTTTCATTTTTATGTTCATTAAAATTAAATCCGAATTTTCTTCCATATCGAATCTGTAGTAAATAATCATCTAAACTCTTTTTGGAGATACTAACTTTATGAGCAGCTTCTTCAAGTGTAAATCGTCTACTTTCCCCATCTATTTTAATACCCTTAAAAATATATTCATAACAATATATTACATTATAATATTCCCTCCATTTTGCAACTTTCTCTATGATATATCCAATTCTCCTCTCTTTTGTTCTTCTACATTGTTTTTAATTCTCCTAACCTTATTATTACTATTATTATGATTGTTCATTTCCTTCTTACTCTTTCATTTTATTAACTTTCTCATTCATCTCTTCAGACATTACTAAATGAATCAGTGAAATCCCAGTCTAAATGCATTTAATACGTAATTAGTTTGTTTATTTAATTTCATTTAATGGCATTACATAAGAATAATGTACAGGATCCAATCCACAATTAATATACATTTCACAATCGAAACTATAATATGAAATTGTGCGTCCTTCCAATTATATTCCTAATTCTTTAAGTTTGCTTGTCAATTTGAATATATTTATTCCATTCGCTTATTACATTTTACTCAAATCAAATTATGAGAAATATTCAATATAATTCTAACTTGGATCTCTTACATCTATCAATTCAACATATAGTTTAGCCTATATAAAAATAATTATTCTAATTTATACTGTAATCTATTCAATATTAATTTCACGACTACTAGTTGAATTCTCTTCACTGTTGATATCAGACATCCTTGAATACTTAAATTAATATATTTATTATAAGAATAAAAATAAGATTATTTATTAATTTTTTACATTTAAAATAAATTGTATTAATCAAATTTAAGACAATCAAATATATTATTGAAACATATTATCTTCAATCCTAAAAAGTATATTCAAATTAATCAAAAGAATCTTCACTTTCACTTTCTATCTATTCAATTTAAATATTTTCTATTGTGCTGACATTTATATTTTACTATATTTATTAATTTTCAATTTATTATAAATTTGAAACTAATGATAAATTCATAGCAATACTTTATTGATTATTTTATATGCCTCTTTGTATTTCTTGTTAAATTACTTATACATTATTTAAATTAGACTCTTTTTCTACTTCAATTGAATCTTTACACTATCTTTCAATCATTTTAATAAAAAATGGATTATCAAAATCAAATTAATTGAGTTACCATATACCACAATTTTCTATCCATTTGTACATTTTTTCCTTCTAATCATAAATGATTAAAACCCTATTTTAAAAAATATAAACTACCCATTTTTATTCTCTTAAAGTAAAGTTCTTTAGATTATACGATTGAAAGATCTGTTGTAAAAATATTACAAGGACTTATCATCATTTACATATTAAATTTCCTCTACTTTATAATGATTAGGTTCACACATACAAGTCAAGATTATAGCTTTACAAAATTAAAATGAATTTGGAGAATTAAATTCTTTTTTAAAGATTCCACTATAAGTTTCAAATAAAATTGCTCCATCTTTTGAACTTGTAATAAATTCATATGGTTTATATTTTTAGCCTTTCTGTGCCCAAAACAGCTTTTTTTTTTTCTCCATTTCTAAAAAAATATTAGATTATTCTTTTTCACAATAATCTTTAAATTCTTTTATTTTATCCCTTTGTTAAAAAATCACCAAAATACTATTTGGTATTGATTTATAAATATTATTCAAAGTCTTTAATAAACCAAAATTTTAATTATGAGATTATATGTAAAATGTCTAAAAAAATTAACTCTAATCTAAAATATGTTTAATTTTAATCTTATTTGGAAATTAATCATAAGGGGAGGACAAATATTTAGATGAAATTATAATAGATTAAAATTTTAGGTTTCTTAAATGATCTAACATATATTATGAATAATATTTGAGGCAAATAAAAATCACATTACCATTTTTATTTTTGTTTATATATGATGTATAATTATCCATAAAATCATATTTATTTATAGATAATTTATATGCAGATTTAATGAATATGAACCATAGACTTAGATTATCCAACTTAGAAGCATTTTATTATTTCAATATTTCTTAAACTTATTCCATATATTTATTAAAGCTCAAATTTCTTTTTATAAAGTAATTTTCAATTATCAATTTTATATCGATATTTAAACGTTTATCATATTAATTAATAAATTAAAATTCGAGGAAATATTACATTAACTTCTTAATGTTTTCGTACGAATGTAATTCAGAAGAAAATGGCTTCATTTATTATCTTTTAGATGCCAAATCCTCTAATTCCTTTTTGGCATTCTCGATTGCTTTTGAAGAAATCTTCGTTAACAATATTTGATCTTATACACACTCGAAACTATCAAAAATCAAGATGGAATTTTTAAGATCTTATTATTCATAGGAAATCAAACTGTCCTTTGTCATAAAAATTAGATCATGCTCTAATATTTGATTTAAGCTCAAATCCTCTTTAAAGTATATTAATTTAGTTTTATAAATTGTTTTTTTTAATTATTCTTCTGCCTAATTTAGATAAGCCTGATTTTATGAAACATAAACAATTCTTAAGGATTTTTATTTCTCTAAATTGGTTGAATTTTCTTTCTGACTCTTGAGCCAAGCAAGAGATGAGCACAATAATGAAAATATCCTAACTTCAGTATTAACATATTCCAATCTATTAAATATTGAAATATTGTACAAAACATTCTCTTCTCTTTAAAGGGTCTAAATGACATCTTTCATTAATTCTATAGAAACCTTGACATTTTTAGGAGTCCATACATCGACTTAGCTTATTTTTTGGTGTTAATGATTAGCTGCATACATAATAATATAAATTAAATTTATATATTAAATTCATGTATTTAATTCATAATTCTATTATTCTTTTAATTAACTTATAAGTTGATTTAAGAGATATTTTAGATTTTACTTTTAGTAAGAAAGTCTTTTCATGAAACAAAAATTTTATTAGATATCTCATTAAATATTAAGAATCATATTTAAAGTTATTTAGATGTTTCATTTTGTAAATAAAACATAAAAATTATGTGTTTTAGGAGGTTTATTTTAAAGTAAAAGTTTAACATTTATTTTTCTATTCTAAGATTTACAATCTGTATAAGAGTACTATATTGAAATTTAAATTGATTTCTTCTTTTTTTTCATTTTCAAATTTTATTATATAATAATATTAAGTAATTAATTTATTTTGATCGCATCAAAACTATTCAATAAGTAATAAATTAATATCTAATCTACTTAGATATCTAAAATAAATAGAAATTCTTTTAGATATTAAGATATATCTAAATAAGTAGAAATATCAAACTGAGAAAAAGTAATAAATTATTTAAGAAATGAAACTATTTTAAGATATATTTCTGATATCATATTTGAAAATAAATTAGATGAATTTACAAAGAAACATAAAGTATAATTTTAATATTTGTATTTTTATTCAGAAAATATATCAGTTATAATGTAAACTTGAATGTTTTTTGATAATTGATTTAACTTTGTTATTGATTGGGTTTTTTTTAGTATTATTTTAACTATTTTAAGTATTAATATTTGATTAAATTTTCAGTACCGAAATTTTATTTATCGAATGAATAGATGATGTTTTTGTTTTCATAACTGATTATCTATTGTTATTATATTATGAATAATTAGTATTTTTAATAAGATTATTACTTTGTAATTAATCTTATTATTATTATGGTTAATTCTTTAATAGTATTTTATCACGATGAGTATCTTCATCATCCCAATCATATATGTATTCTATTCTTAATTCATTTTCCTTCATTATAGACATAAATAAATTTTTAAGATAATTGTAATCTGGTTTTTCATCAAATTTGAGATTCTTTGTATATTCAATATATTGTAATAATTATTTGGGATGATTTTTACATAAAGTTTCACTAGATGTGGCTAATTTCTTTTCCATAATTCTGTCATATTTATCTTTTTAAGTATTAGCTCTTAAATTTTACCATGGTAATGTACCTCTTAAGAAGTACATTATTACATATCCAAGAGATTCTAAATCATCTCTCCTAGATTACTCAATCCCTAAATGAGTGTTAATAGAAGCATATCTAGCAGTTCCAGTCAAAGCCTTATTATCTTTATATGGAATATGAGTATCTTTATTGATATACTTTTTAGCCAATCCATAATCAACCATGTAAACTCTATCTTTATGTGTTTTACCCAATAAAAAATTGTCTGGTTTAATGTCTCTATGAAGGAATTATTTGCCATGCAAGAACTCAATACATTCTAACATTTGGAGTGCTAGTACAGTGACTGATTGCAATGAGAATATGCGATTATTGTCAGAGAAAATATCTTCAAGACTTTTGCCTAACTGTTCCATTACTAAGAAATTGTATGCATCTTATTAGTAATATCCATAATATTTTGGTATGCCAATTATAGGTGAATTGTTTAGATATTAATATAGCTTGGATTCAAATAACAATTGGGGATGTTTAGTGTCAGATCTCTCAATTTTAATTGCATAATCTAATCCATTGGCTGTGGCTGAATAGATTTCACCAAATGCTCCTGCTCCTAGTTTTTTGAGAAGCTTATATTATCTAGGGAATAGGAGTAGGTTTACTTATTTAATAGGAATCCACTCATATCCTTAATAGTATATTCCATCAGTTAATTAATTATTAAATCATGGCTGAATTTTCGATTGAAAAAGTGTGTCAAGCAATCCAAGTTTTTAATTAAGGATAAGTTAAATAAACAGATAGTTATCTAAGAAGTTTCTCATAATCAAATGAAGCTTGGGGAATTTGCATTCAAATATTGTAATAAAATCCTGATCCATCATTGGTGTTTTAATTGTTGCGTATATTGTAATCCAAAATTCTGTATGACTTCAGTATTCTAATCTTATCATTCATTAGTTTCACTCAAACCATCAGAAATACCACAGATATATAAAAATTGCATTCAAATCATACTTCACTACAGCGTATAAAATTAAAAATCAACTAGAATATAATGTGTACTTATGTTTATCTATTTATACTTGTACACTTACTCATAACAAACTAAATCAATTTTAGAGTAATCATATTATAAATCATTAGAGTCATAGCCTAAATTCTTGATTACTCTCAAAACAATAGTCCTCATTAGAAGTTCTTATTTGATGTTTTGGAGACACTCCCAGATGAACTAACAGAAAATAAAAAGATTATAATAGATGATGAGAAGAGAAAATTGATAGCATAAGACATTAAAAATAAATAAATGTTAGATATACTAACATTCCTCCAAACTTAATGGAATACCATTCCTGATGATTCTATTAAATATCATATTTTGAGATCTTATAAAAAGTGGTTGGAATTTATGAAATCTAGTATCACAGAAGAAGAAGTAATTAAACAAACTTAAAATTAGGCAATTCAATTTATGTAATTAAGTAGTCAAACTACACTCTTCAAAGGTACACTAGAATCTATAAGTAATGAAGAATTACAAAGTAAAGCTGTTGAAGCAATTTGTACATTTGTTGGTATCATTCCAAAAACTATATGTGAATAACCATAATTAGAACCTTAGGTTTTATAAGTATTATTTGATGAAATTTATAAAACCTTTCCTGCTTGCAAAAAAGCATTAGATGAGGAAACATATGATGAAATTCATAATTTAATTAAATTATATTCCAAAGTTGGTAAAAAGTGTATACATAAAATTATACTTAATTCATAATTGGAACCATTTTTATAAACATTCTTATGGATATTTTGTCATGAAAATTCATGTACTGAAAGTGATATCTTAATGGATTTTTGGATTAAAATGATCAAAACCATTAGAATAATGAATGATTTGTAATTATAAAATAAGTTTTCATTAACCTTTGAATAACTTATTAATGGATGTGTATAAAAGAGTAAAGTGAATAAAATACTTATGAATGAATATGGAATTTCACCAAAAATTAAAGATGAATTTGAATAACAATTAGAAACCAGATCATAAATGAAAGAAATTATGGAAGAATTAGTTACAATCATATAACCAAATCTAATTATTCAACATTTAGGAGGTATACTTAAAAAAGAATTCATTCCATAAATGAATGAAAATGGTTGGATTACATTTGAAGCTTGTATGAATTTAATAAGTGGAATAATTAAATAAATTATATTGAAAAATGATTAGATTGGAGTTTAATATTTAATGGAGATTATTAAATTATATTTAGATGTCTATCAATAATAACCATAAGCCAGCAATAATTTTATAATGAAATCAGGTATTATATTAATTAATTAATTCAATATTAGTTTTCAAAACAATTTCATAAGGTTGTGCTTAATTGATTTCCTCAAATGAATTATTGCCATCATTGTTTAATTTTATAACAATAGGAATACATCACTAAGTGTCTTCAGTTTAAAAGAAAGCAACTAAGGCTTTTTAATTGATTTGTTAATAAAATCAAAATTTTGTTTTGTTACATTTGAATTAATTCTTAGATCTAATATTTAAATTACAATAAGTGTAATCTTTATTCCTTTAATATTTAGCTCTAATTATGATAATTTAATTAAAGGAGTAGCTAATGCAATTTGTTCAAGTTAAGAGACAATGTAAAATTATTACTTAAAATTGTGTTCAATTTTTGCTTAAAATTTAGTACAATTACAATAGTAAATTGAAGAATTACTAGTCACATAAGTAGGATCTGATACTTTGGAAGAAAAGATTAAACAATTCAGCAAAAACATCTCTAGTTTAGCTTATGTGAATAGTTAAATACCTGCTAATGAATCAAATGATTATTTAGCAGTTAGAATATTAATTGTTAATGTTTATTAAGAATTATGGCCAATGTTAAAATTTGGAATGGAGAGAATAGCAATCTTTGAACATGGAGTAGCAGAGAGAATAGTGAGATATACTAAACATACTTTTAGAAAAGCTTTTAATTAATTTTCTGTTGATTTACTTACATAAGTGTTTTAGAGCTTTTTGAATGTCTATAGATAAGTTCCAATAACAGCTTGCATATATGTAGCTGAAGTATCAGCAACTGTATTTTATAAATATCCTGAATATCGTAATCTTTTATCAGAAGCATTTGAAAATTTATGTAATATTACATTTTAACATTTACCTCAATTATCAAGTTTTGAAGAGAATCCTGATTTAACAGAAGATTTGTTTGGAATGCTTGTAAGATATGGTAGATATACACCAGTTTTATTGTTATAAAGTTCAGCATTATAAACAATTTTATAATTAACTTTGATGGCAATAGGATTATAACATGTAGGTGCTGCAAAAGTATTTTACTCATGGTTAGAAGTAACTTTCTTAATGTTAAAACCTTAAGATGATGCATTCAAAGTATAAATTCCATAAGAATATAAAGAAAGTATTAATTTTATATAAATCATTAGAATTTCAATAAATAATCACTCCATTCATCCCTCAATATACATCAAAGTTGTTTGAGGCTCTAAGATAGGGACCAGCTGATGATGAAGTGGAAGATTATATTGATGATTGCATAATAGCTTTGTCCTAGATCTCATTTATTGATTATCACCAACTTTTGAGTTAAGTTTTGGAAGAGGGACCACAAAACATATTGACTCAATCTGAAAAAAAAACTTGGATAGAAAATAATTAAGATTCTGAAAAGTAATAATCATTTCTAAAACTTTACACAAGGAGATGTGTTTAAAATTCTTTGAGAGGGTGATAAAAATGTTAAATTAATTATATATATTTTATAATAAGTATTTTTAATGAATATATTATTCAATAATATTTCTATTAATATTCATAATTCCCAATGGTGGGATGAAACTTTCCAATTCCTACTTATTTAAGTTTATCAACTTCCTCTACAGTAGTTGGGATTCTAAATTTTAATATAAAATCATGGAAATTATAAGCAGTGCTTTTAGGATCATCTTCTTAAATGCTATGACCAGTATTCTACAACACAATCAATCTAAACTTTCCTTGCATTTAAGCCACAGTAAGATCTTTGTCTAATCTCTCTTTCTCAGCCAACATTAAAATTTTAGGTATTCTTATTTACAGGAACGAATCTGTTAATCCTTCAAACCAACCCATCCAATAAGGTGAAGTCTTCAATAAATCAACCTTCCAATCTAAACTAATTAAATTCCCATTCTAATCTTAGACTTCTTTTAATTATGCAGGTATTGACACTCTGGCTGATGATAAAGTCATTAATGTTGATGTATTCAAACTCCATTAAATTGCTTACTCATAGGATTTAAAATGTTTAGGCCTATTATTAACAATCTGTTCCATAAATGGTAATGCTTCAATTGCACTTCCTTCAACTACATCTATAACAATCAAACCTAATTGTATCTATATTAATCCAAAATACCTTAAACTTTATCTGCCTTTTATGATGTGATTAATAAATTTGCAGATTTTGCTGCAATAGCTCCACCCATAGAGTGACCAACTATTATCACTGTTTGTTTTGGCCATTATGTAGTCACATAATCGAATATTTCAATTACATCATCCAATAATTATTAAACACTTAGATTTGGATTCTCTAATTCAATTTTTGATTGACCATCTAATATTTTAGTTAGTATTTTTACGTCCTCTGAAATCAAATGAAATCAATGTAGCATATTATTTTACTTCATTAGCTAAATTCGCGAATGACATTGCAGAATGTCCAGCTCCATGTAAACATAAAAATATAGGTGCTTTATTTTTTCCAGCAATGTATATTGGTGTTCCCTATTTTATTTCTACTTTCTTACATTTGGATGGAATATCATCTCATCATAAAAATCATTCCACTTTTAAGGAGAATAATCATGTATCTTTTTAGTTATTTTTGCTTATTAAGGATTTTAATGATGGGCTTATCATATATATATATATAATTTTACAATGAGTTAAATTATGATCTGCTTTTATTGGTTATGGTTTAGATCCTTGTAATTTTACTGGAATTGAATTCTTGCTACAAATTATTTAATCATTCGATTTACTTAAAATCTACATCAAATTAATCTTATTCCTCATCTTTGTCATCACCTTCATCTTCATCTTCATCTTTCAATATTTATATTATAATACTCTGCATCTATTTCTTTGGAACAGGTGGTTTCTATTTTTGTTAAGCCTTAAGAGTTTATTTAAGTAAATCACTCATTTTAAGATTTTAATTATTTATAAAAGAAATTAATAATTTTCATCTATTTTTTCAATAAAATCAAGTCTTGTTCCCTAACGTATAATACATAATCAATTAATTAAATAAGAGATCAATTAAAGAAAAATAGCTGATGTATAGAAGTTTATAAATTTATATGATATAAGTCACCTGATCATTCAACATAAGAACAATACAATTATAGGTAGTTTCACCAGATTTTTATTGATATTTTAAAGCTATAGGAAATTCAACATATCAAGATTTTAAATATCATTGTGAGAGGTATTAAATTGAACCACATACAATTTTCCATAAAATAACACTATTATATATGGGTTTTAAACAAAAAGTTGTCATAATTATTTGCAACATTTATATCTCATATCAAATAAATTTATGATGAGTCTTATATTTACTTAGGAGATCTATAACTGAATATGCTTATTTGATGAATAGAAAAAAGAATTATTATAAGAAAAAAACTATATCTGGTCAAATCTTCTTTTTTACTTAGCCATTATCCTAAAGATTGTATAAAATGAAATAAGTTAAACTTGAATCATTATTAATCTATAGAAATCAATTTTAATTATTATTTTATAAATTTATCTTTTAAAATGGAAAATAAATAAGATGATGGAAAAGATAAAACATTTCATTTCTTAAACAAAGGCCATTTTAAATTCCGTTGGATTCTACTTGGATTTTGTATATGGATAGTAGCAGGGGCATTTTTTTGTTTTGATGTTCCGGCTGCTTTACATAATACATTAAAATAACATTTTAGTGATATTATGACAGATGGAGAATTTGAAATATATTTTAGTGGATTATATAGTATTTATTCATTTGCGAACATATTTTTGCCTTTCATCACAGGAAGTAATGTTCAAGATTAATATAAGGATTAAGAGATGCAATGGGAGATAGAATGATATTATTATAGACTGTATCATTTGTTTTTATTGGTTAAGGATTGTTTGCATATGGAGTGATGATTAAAAGCTTTATAGTAATGTATTTAGCAAGGATAATATTGGGTTGGGGTATTGAATCCGTTTAACCAATATAAACATCATTTGTATCACCTTATTTCAAAGATGATTATCTAGTAATTTAGTTATTTTATACAAAGGGATTAACGATAGGAATGAATACCTTATTTGCTGGTTTTGGTTCCGTTGCAACTATGTACTTCTGTCCTTTGCTTGCTCTTTAATATGGATTATTAGTTGCAACTTCTGTTGGATGTCTTTTTAACATATTTTGTATAGTTTGTGCTATAGTATCAACAAGTATTGATAAATGCGCTGAGACTTAGATGCTAAAAAACATTGATTATGAAAAAGTTAAATATATGTAATTAGCACAAGAAGAAGAACAACCATAAATTAATGAATAAAATAATTAGTAATCTGAAGTAAGTATTTATGAACAAATGAAAACATATCCTAAATTGTTTTGGTTAGTTGCCATTTATTTTGGATTGAACTATTCATCAGTTTTAGGATTCATAAATATATCAGTGGGATTTTTGACTGAAAGATGGTTAGGAGAAGATGAAGACTCTGAACTTAAAGCAGGAGAGATGGTAGCCATTATGTGGTTAATTACTGGATTTTTCACTCCTATCTTTGGATTTATAGCTGATAAATATGGAGGAAGAGCATCTCATGTAATTATTTGAATATTTCATATAGTGTATTATTGCAGGAATTCTCTGTTTTGTTTCACATATCACCTTGTGGTATATATATCCATTTCTATCTTTAATCGCATTAGGAACAGCTAATGCGATTGCTTATGCATCACCATGGACAGGAGTTGTCTATTTAGTAAGACCTGATTACTTAGGTAAAGCCTATGCAGTAGTAGTTGGAACTTATAATGCATTATTTAGTATATTTCCTATTGTTGTGGGTGTATTGAGAGCGTATTATGGAAGTTATTACTATTCTTAATTATTTCTATCATTTCTAGGACTTTGTTCTTTGATTACAGCAATTTTAATAAAAATAGAGGATGTAAAGCAAGAAAATTTGATTGATGGTAACAAAATCATAAGTGCAACATCAATTGAAGAGAATTGTAAATAAAATACTGATTGTGATTAAAAATGAATTTGTATTTTATTAATTAAGAATGATTAACAATTAAAAAGATTAATTACTAATCTTGTCATTTAGCCTAATTTATTTACTATTATATTTGACTTATTGTCTATTTTTTCCATTATATTTTTATTTTGAATGTATATTCCATCTAAAATAATAATCTCTTACGATTCTGAATGATAAGGATAGTATTAATCAATAATTATAATAAGACGAAATTTGATATTACAATTATTAATCAAATATTATCATTTCAAAGAGACTACTCCTTTATTTTATATCAACTTTTCAAGTCCATCCATTAGTCTTGCATCTCCTTTAATCATTATTGAATTCAGGATATCTGCAATCTTTTATTTTTGTATCACCAACTATGCTTCGGTTGCTTTTAAATCATTTTTTAATCTTTACTATTCATTTTCCTAATAACGAGTGATATTCTAAATTAGCAAGTATTAAATACCTTCTATATTTCTAATTCTTCTGACAACCCTTTGATTATTATATCATCCTTTTATTTTTACAAAACTAGAATTATATAAATTTATTATTTACTAAATTAATTAATTTCTTATCTTAGTTGATTTACTTCTTATTGTAAAATATCATTCTAGCTTTCAAATTCTTCACCTTTAATCATAGATGGCTTAAAACTAAACTCTTAACAATTTTATACAGAATTCTTTGACTATTCTTATCTTTTAATTACATAATTATTTACTAAAATTATTATTCTTATAATTTTGGCTCGTATTATATCAGTTATTATAAATTTTGATTTTCTTTTTATAATCTATCAATATACTACTATAATTATTTTATTTGTATATTTAATTATTAAACTTTTATTTAATTATTTTCTTATTCTACTTTAAATTCACTCTCTAATTATTTATTTCTTTATTTTAATTATTTAATTTCTTCTTCCTTGTTGTTTAGCTCTTGTTATTTGTTTCTTACAACTTATTTATAACCATCTATAATGTCACTCGTATTTTCTTTGTTGCTAAAAGTTTCAAGTCTAATAATCTCTTTTTTCTTTTCTTCTAATTCCTCTTTTAATCTTGATATTTCTTCCTCTATTGATTCAATCATTTAATTTTGATTATCAATCTATTTCTTTAGATTTTTATTTTCTTTTTCCTATTAAATTTAAATTTATTCTAATGAATCTAATTCTTTCTTCAAAGATTATGAGGCCAATTCAGAATTTTCCAACTGTATTTTTAACTGTGTAACTTATTGTAAATCTGATTTAAGGTCAAATTTTGGATTATTAGATTAGGTTTGTGTCACATGAGTCTGCTTTTCATTTATGGCTAAATCTAACTGCTTCTATAAATTTTCCAATTCTTAATTTAATAATTTTAAGCTATTTTGATGATTTTAGATTTCTAACAAATATTTTTCTTTTTCTTTTTGTAAAGCATGTATATTTTATTATAATAATTCATAGTTTTATTTCAACATCGTATTTTCTCTTTATTTTAAATCATTCTCTTTTTTTAGAAAATCAATATTTTATTATTAGGAGGATAATTATTAGATAAATTATTAATATTAGTTTTATTAATTCTACTAATACTAAAGCTATGATTAGTTTTGTTATGATTAGTTTTGTTATGATTAGTTTTGTTAAGGTTGTTGTTATTAATATTATTATTATTTAAATAACTATTATTACTATTAGTAATATTATTACTATTACTATTACTATTATTATTACTATTATTATTATTATTAATATTATTATTATTATTACTTTTAATTAGATTATGTTTACAAATATTATATTTATTATTAACATTCATCAATAGAATGAGCCTTCTATTAAAATTGCTATTATAAACTTTGTATCTATTAATAATATTTTTAATTTTAGTATACTACTTAAGTGTACTCTTCTTTCAATTCTTAATAGGTTTAAGATAATAACTAGAATTCTATTTAAGACCCTTATAATTTATCCTATAAATCTAAATAATCTTTTAAAAATTATTCATATTTTTCTCCTACAAAATTTCCAATTTCAGCTTATTTTGCACTTTTCAAATAATCATCTTAATGTTATGTTTTACTTTTTGGCGATTAATTAGTTTGTTAATTAAAATTTTTTGATTTAGGTGGACTTTTAGATTTATGGTCTTATTATTTCAATCCTTACTTTAATATTTATATCTCGTAATTAGGATCAGTGTTTTACTCTAGATATTGTTATTCAGAGACTTAATTAAAAGTATTCAAATAAGATTAATCATAATTTTCATTATTTTAACTTGTAATTTTTTACATCCATCCTCTGTCAGAAAATGATTTGACAATTTCATCAGATTACGTTTTAATTTCTTCTTATTAAAAATACTTTTACTTTGATCCTATTTTAGTTTTATACTTCCTTTTATCATCATCACTCTTTTTATTATGTTAATTCATAGATTATATTTACTTTTTAACAACAATCATTTTATCATTTATATCCTTTAAATCTAGATCAGTTTGTTTGGGTTATTCATTGATTGAACAATATATTTTTTTGAATTGCTTTGTGGGAGTTGCAAATCGTTTAGATGGAGATCCAACTCTCACATACACATCTGGCTTTCTTAATTGATTTGACCACACATAATCATCAGCTATAACTATTTTGGATTATGGTTTTGGTTCTTTCAACTTCTTCTCTTATTAAACTTTTAATTATTCCTTATGATCTCTCCATTAGATATATGATGAATGAGTAATTCTATTATCATCACTACTTTTTTTTGATTTTTCTTATCCTTTTGGACTTTAACATGCATTTCTTTAAGAAATTTCTTTACTTTAAGGACTACTAATTGTCTAGCAATTTTCTAAAATTTATATATTCGATTCCGGTAAATTGTTAATTAGTTGCCATTCAAAAATGAATGTTAATTGTGCTTCTTCATTTTAATCGCATTAAATTGATAATCTATCAGAAATTTAAGATAATTTATGTTCAATATAGAACTCAAGATTAAAGATTGCTTCTCCAAATTTTATAAGATTTTCATAAAAAATGAGTTTGAGCTTTGGATAATATAAAAGGTTACTTTGTTTTTGTTTCTTTAATTGTAGGGGATTAGAATTTCAACTTTTTCATAGATATCCTGTTGTTCATAGCATTTACATCTTAATTAATTATTCAAAATGACAGTTGTCATGGCTAATTTAAAATTTGATTTTTTACAATCATTAAGTTGCATTTTACAATAAGGATTGTCAGAATCAATATAAAAATAAATAGTTTGCACTTCTATATTGATTTGTAGCATGGTAAATTTAGTTATTAATTATAATTATTTATTTCGTTATTTTATTATATATTTCATGTATTTAGGAGTGAAGATGTTTAATATTTATAAATATTTATTGAATTTAATAAATTGAAATGATTAATTAGACTCCTTCTACAATTGATTCATCTGAAATACTCTTTGATGAAGAACAACAATACTAATCTTATATTAGATAGTAAAGCACTATGGAAAAGAAACTCCAATATTCAATATCAGCTAATAATTAGATGAAGGGAATTAATTAATAGGATATCTATAATAAAGAAGGATGGTTAATGAAAAAGAGTCCCAAATTACTGGTAGGATGGCAAGTAAATTGTTAATATATTACCAAAATTTATTAGAAACGATATATTAAGATTTAAGAAGGAAAGATGTAATATTTTAAAGGTTCAGAAAAATTTAAGGGTTGCATAGATTTTCATTTGATCACAGTAACAATAATTCCTATCATGAAGAATAATGTAATACATGAAATAAGGTAATTTTTTGGATCAATGATAATAAGATTGGAATTAAATGGAATTAAAAAGATATTTTAATTTAAAAGTATAGATCGCAATGATTTGCAAGATTGGTATAGTTGTCTTAAACAACATATTTTAATGACATAATCTTATCCAAAAATGGCCCCTTTGAATCATGAATCCATGTGGAGATTTGAGAGAATATCTGAAACATATTTCAGAAAAAAAGCTGATACTGGTGACATTCTTATTTAGGTAAGTATACAAGTTAATTATTCCTAGGGGGCAGTCTCCGTTAAGTAAAATTCAAAGAGCTTTTACTGGAGACAACTTTGATCATGTAGCTTTATTACTTCGATATAATAATGGAGAGTTGTTTTTATTTGAATCTATGGGATAAACAGTAAAATTTAACATAGGAAATCTAGGGTGTCAATCTTTTGAGTTGGGATACTTTTATGCAAAACAATTGGCATAATTTATATTAACAGGTGGTATACAGATAATTAGAAGTAAATAGATCAAATGAAATACTTGAAAAACTTGAATAATTTGTTAAAGTTCATATTAAATTGTATTATTTAGGTATCTATTGGCAAAAAATATCAAATGTCACCAAGTAAATTGATTAAACGATTTACAAAATCAAATGAATCTATTGATGACCTAGAAAAAGATGATAAAACATTTTTTTGTTCTGAACTTTTAGCAGCAACGTATTTGATTTATGAATTTAGTTATAAGAAAATGGGAGTTATTAATACAAACCGATGCGCTACTTCTTATTGGCCAGGTATTTTTGCTTAGAATTCTAAAATTCATTTAACAAAAGGTATTTTGAAGTAAGAACAACTTATCGATTTTTCTTTAGTTTGAAAAAAAATTGTGATATTTAATAATTAACAAATTTTTTTGATTAAATCATACTATAAATTCTGATTAGTATCTTATTTCTTCTTTATTAAATCCATTTTCTTTTATTCAGACCTATTAAAAATTGTAAAAAAGATCAGCTAAAATGTTGAAAATATTTTCTATTTTTTTTTAACCAATTAAAAATATAAGTTATTATTCTTAAAATTCATAAATCTTTTAAAAGTTTATTAGGGTTTTTAATTATTTTTTCTCCAAATTATTCTATGAAATTAATTTTTCATTTTTTAAACAAACATCTATTTATTTTTAAACTTTTTCTCATGTGTATTTCGAAATTCACGAAAGCATCACAAAATATTAGTGGTTCTAAATTGGCTTTCCTAATTCGACAATTTATTCTTAAATTCGGCTGACTCTTAGATACTACTTCATTTCTTTTCCAGAATTAATTAATTTGTTTTTAATACTCATTTACTATATATCAAAATAGCATTTTTTCTAAACACTTATTTTTTTGCCATTATTAATGGACTATCTTATTACTCTTGATCATAAAAATTTTTGAGATTTAAACAAAATATCTTAACCATTAGATTTTGGGATTTAGATATTAAGTCTAAGAATGTTCTGTTGGGAAAAGAAGTAGAAGAAAATATGTTTTATATTTTTGACTTGGAATCAGCAAAATTTATAAGGATTAGTTAAAGTGAACCAGTAAATTTTAGTTCCTTCAGAGAAAACTAACCATTTATTGGAACTTCAAGATATGCTAGTTTTATTGATCATAAAGACATATCTTTAAGCAGAAGAGAGAGTTTAGCATTTGATTTATTTTCTCAAGTTCGTTAGTAAATAAACCTAATGTTGACTTTAGAATAAAGGAAACCCATAAACAAGAAAAAAAGTTAACTATTAGTCCAAATTCTTAAATAGAGAAAATTTCTGATTAAAAAAGAAATCCTTTATTAAAAATTCTAACCTACTTCAATAATTATCAAGCAAAAAGGAAGAGGTTGAAGATATTGGAGATTTCTCTTAAATGAATGAAACTGATGAAGGAATTGAACGAAAATAAATGCTAACAAACAATAGAAATACTCAAGAAATAAAAAAAATAAATTAATAAAATTTACAAATTTAAGGGAGTTATTGTAGAAAAATGAGTTATTTTGCTATTTTTGAGAATGATGAGGAGAAAGGTTTCAAAGTTATAAAATAATATGTATGTAAATTGAAGATTTTCTAAAATGATTTTTTTAGTTTTTATTTATCAAATTCTCAGAATGCTTTTGTTATTTAAAACTTTTTTCATGAGGATCCTTCAGTTTTGTTCTAACATTGAAAATTTCAAATTTGGGAATGTCAATTTGATTGTGCTAATGCTATTTTTTTATAAAAGTCAGATAACTTTTACTTATTTCTTTCCACTTCTTCTTCTAATTCTTTAGATACTTCAGTAAGAATTGTAATTATATTTTAGTCTTAGTACTCCCTCTTTATCAGTGATTTATATATATTCCATCATTATAAGGGCTGAAAATTAAAAATAATAGTTTTTGATAGAAATGATTACAAGCGCTTTTATAGTTTTTTTCATCAAACTCAATCGATCTAATTGAAGTTAGTTTATGTTATAATGTCTTGGAATTGATAATTTCAAAGTCTTTTAAATCTGATGATAAATGCAATTTACAATCATATAATTTTACTTCTTAATTTTGTTCTTTAGCAAAATCATACTCATTTGTTAATAACATTTATGCACTAAATGGATTTACCTCTCCTTAATATTAATTTTACTTTTAAATAGAATCACTTAAGAACAATTTTATATTGTCAGTTAAGTCTTGTAATATTCGTAAGAGTACTATTTCTATTGATTTTTCATTGATTGTTTTAGTGATAAAAAATTATTCAGAGAGAATTAAACAATATAGCATATAATTCTATAATTTTATTGCAATTAAATTTCCCATCTCAAAATGATTTATATATAACTATAGATTCACTTTGTTATTTAATTCTTATTCATATTTCTCTTTCTATACCTTGCTGTGTTCCAAATAATCCTTTTAATTAAAGAATTAGATCATCTTTAATAGTATCATAGAATTATTTTGTAGTCTTAAATTCAATATCATCAGGTTAATCTTATTATGCATCATCAATGTTGATTGAATACAATAAATTTATTTACAAACTTTTCATAATTTACTTTAGATATTATTTTTATGAGTTTTAATCACTTTATTTTCTTTCAATGAAATTTTATAGTATTTGAACCTATATACTAATAAATTTTTATATGAGATTAAAAATCCTTTATAAATCATTTCTTAAACTTAAATAAATGTTAAAATACTAAATCAGCAAACTTAAATAATGATTTTAAATGTATAATTAGAATAAGATGAAAAATAATCTTAGAAGTTTATAAGAGAAATATAATTTCATTTCACCAATATTAGTTATTATTCTTTTAAAATGCCATGATGTAATTTTATTCAGGCATTCATTTAATATTATTATTATTAAAATATAAACTCGTATAAATAGCTATTAATTTGAAAAATAATGATTAAAAGTAAACATTTAAAATTATCAAATTTATTAAAATGTCAATCCTAATAAAAAAAGGGGAATTATCAAATTTAGGTTAAATGAAAAGAAAGGATAGATTGGAGGAAGAATTGTGTTAATCTAAAGCTTTAAGTAAATTGGAAAAAAAACAAATATTAACGATTTAAATTACAATTTTCCCAGTATTAAGCATTTAATAAATAAGGGAACTATAAAATGCTTATATCAAACGATCGAAATAGTTGGCATATCTGACAAAATAATAATATAAAGAAAAAAATATGAATTTTTACATTAAAATACATTAAGTAAGCTTGAAGCAAAACTAACTCTAGTAAATTATTTGATTTTATATTAAATCTAAAAATGAGAATTTACATGATGGATTTTTTTCATTCCTGCTTTCAAAGAATTTGAATCCCTAAATTGATTAGGAGATCTTCAAAAACTTTATCAATATGAATATTTAGCATAGATAGATACAAGAGTAAATAACAGTTTAATAATTTTAATTTTGTATTTTTATTGTGTAAAAATAATTTAATATTGTATCTTATGGCTTTGCAGTTTATTTTCATTACAATGATTGAAGTTTCCTGATTGTTTAAATAATCTATTATGAAAAAGGATGGTTTAATGTTAATGCTATTTTATAATATTATATGGCTAGAACGATTTAATTCAATTATTTTAAAATTGCTAAAAGATATTTACCATAAAACCTTTTTAAAAATAAGCATCGCCATTATTTGGGTCACATTAAATTGTTTTATCAAAGAAGATTTTTGCTTATTCATACTATTTCAAAATGTATAAGATAACACCTTAAACTATTATATGGAGATAAAACCTTGTTATAAATAGGCTTCTGCATGATTTGGATCAAGTTGGATAACTTGATTAAAGTCAATTAATGCTTTAGCTTTGTCACCAATATATTTATATAAAATGCCTAATTTTAAGTGTTATAGTATTCACCTCTATTAAAATAGGCATCAACATATTTAGGATCAAGTTTGATTGCTTGATTATAGTCACTTAATGCATTATCTTTTTCACCAATATCATTATATAAATTGCCTAATATATTAAGTGTAATATTTTTCACCTCTGTTAAAATAGGCTCTAACATATTTAGGATCAAGTTGGATTGCTTGATTATAGTCATTTAATGCTTTTTCGTTGTCACCAATTGCTTAATACAATATGGCTAATATATTAAAGTAATATTTTTCACCTCTGTTTAAATAGGCTCTAACATATTTAGGATCAAGTTGGATTGCTTGATTATAATCACTTAATGCTTTATCTTTGTCACCAATATGTTTATATAATATGGCTAATATATTAAATGTTATAGTATTCACCTCTTTTAAAATAGGCATCAACATATTTAGGATCAAGTTTGATTGCTTGATTATAGTCACTTAATGCTTTATCTTTGTCACCAATTTCTTTATACAATCTGGCTAATATATTAAGTGTAATATTTTTCACCTCTGTTAAAATAGGCTCTAACATATTTAGGATCAAGTTGGATTGCTTGATTATAGTCACTAAATGCTTTATCTTTGTCACCAATATCATCATATAATATGGCTAATATATTAAGTTATTAGTTTTCACCTTTGTTAAAATAGGCTGTTGCTTCATTAGGATCAAGTTGAATTGCTTGATTATAGTCATTTAATGCTTTATCTTTGTCACCAATTTCTTTATACAATCTGGCTAATATATTAAGTGTAATAGTTTTCACCTCTGTTAAAATAGGCATCAACATATTTAGGATCAAGTTTGATTGCTTGATTATAGTCACTTAATGCTTTATCTTTGTCTCCAACATTTGTATACAAAATTCCTAATATATTAAGTGTAATAGTTTTCACCTTTGTTAAAATAGGCTGTTGCTTCATTAGGATCAAGTTTGATTGCTTGATTATAGTCACTTAATGCTTTATCTATGTCACCAATATCATCATATAATATGGCTAATATATTAAGTGTTATAGTATTCACCTCTAAATTAATAAGTTATTGCATCATTTGGATCAAGTTGGATTGCTTGATTATAGTCATTTAATGCTTTTTCGTTGTCACCAATTGCTTAATACAATATGGCTAATATATTAAGTGTTATAGTATTCACCTCTGTTAATTAAGGCTCTAACTAATTTAGGATCAAGTTGGATTGCTTGATTATAGTCACTTAATGCTTTATCTTTATCACCAATATCATTATATAATATGGCTAATATATTAAGTGTTATAGTATTCACCTCTGTTAAAATATGCATCAACATATTTAGGATCAAGTTTGATTGCTTGATTATAGTCACTTAATGCTTTATCTTTGTCACCAATATCATCATATAATATGGCTAATATATTAAGTGTTATAGTATTCACCTCTGTTAAAATAGGCATCAACATATTTAGGATCAAGTTTGATTGCTTGATTATAGTCACTTAATGCTTTATCTTTGTCACCAATATCATTATATAATATGGCTAATATATTAAGTGTTATAGTATTCACCTCTGTTAAAATAGGCATCAACATATTTAGGATCAAGTTTGATTGCTTGATTATAGTCACTTAATGCTTTATCTTTGTCACCAATATCATTATATAATACGGCTAATATATTAAGTGTTATAGTATTCACCTCTGTTAAAATAGGCATCAACATATTTAGGATCAAGTTTGATTGCTTGATTATAGTCACTTAATGCTTTATCTTTGTCACCAATATCATTATATAATACGGCTAATATATTAAGTGTTATAGTATTCACCTCTGTTAAAATAGGCATCAACATATTTAGGATCAAGTTTGATTGCTTGATTATAGTCACTTAATGCTTTATCTTTGTCACCAATATTTGTATACAAAATTCCTAATATATTAAGTGTAATAGTTTTCACCTTTGTTAAAATAGGCTGTTGCTTCATTAGGATCAAGTTTGATTGCTTGATTATAGTCACTTAATGCTTTATCTATGTCACCAATATCATCATATAATATGGCTAATATATTAAGTGTTATAGTATTCACCTCTGTTAAATAAGGCTCTAACATATTTAGGATCAAGTTGGATTGCTTGATTATAGTCATTTAATGCTTTTTCGTTGTCACCAATTGCTTAATACAATATGGCTAATATATTAAGTGTTATAGTATTCACCTCTGTTAATTAAGGCTCTAACTAATTTAGGATCAAGTTGGATTGCTTGATTATAGTCACTTAATGCTTTATCTTTATCACCAATATCATTATATAATATGGCTAATATATTAAGTGTTATAGTATTCACCTCTGTTAAATAAGGCTCTAACATATTTAGGATCAAGTTGGATTGCTTGATTATAGTCACTTAATGCTTTATCTTTGTCACCAATATCATTATATAATACGGCTAATATATTAAGTGTTATAGTATTCACCTCTGTTAAAATAGGCATCAACATATTTAGGATCAAGTTTGATTGCTTGATTATAGTCACTTAATGCTTTTTCGTTGTCACCAATTGCTTAATACAATATGGCTAATATATTAAGTGTTATAGTAATCACCTCTGTTAAATAAGGCTCTAACTAATTTAGGATCAAGTTGGATTGCTTGATTATAGTCACTTAATGCTTTATCTTTGTCACCAATTTCTTTATACAATCTATGGATCAAGTTGGATTGCTTGATTATAGTCACTTAATGCTTTTTCGCTGTCACCAATATCTTTATATAAAATGCCTAATATTTTAAGTGTAATAGTATTCACCTCTGTTATAATAGGCCAAACTATAGTTAGGATTGATTTGGATTGCTTAATTGAAATCCATAAGAGCTAAATCAATCATTTGTTCATCATAATAATACTAACCTTAAAATATAAATTTTCTAATACCTCTACAAATAAATGCATAATAACAGTTCTCATCTTTTTCTATAGCTTAATTGTAATATTAAAGTTCATTATCCTTTTATTTCAAATCGCTCATAATAGTGCCTAAAATTTAAGTTTATTTACTACCCATTCTACTATAACCCATTGCAAAGTTTGGATTAATCTAAACACACTTCATACAATCTTATAATGCGAGATCAAATAATTATTTTCTCCAATAAATTGTTCCTTAAATTATAAGATCTAAAATAATACCTCTTTAATAATAACTTTCAGCATTATTATTGTTTATGGATAAGCTCTAATTTACATCTTCCAATGCTTTGTCATATAATTTCATTTTTTCATATAATTCACCTAAATTGATATTTAAAACATTTAACTTCTTAAAGTGTAGGCTTCAGCAAATTGAGGACAAAGATTTANATTTATATAATATGGCTAATATATTAAGTGTAAAAGTATTTACCTCTGTTATTATAGGTCATTGCACAATTAGGATCAAGTTGGATTGCTTGACTATAGTCACTTAATGCTTTATCTTTTTCACCAATATCATCATATAAATTGCCTATTAAATTGAGTGTAAAAGTATTTACCTCTGTTATTATAGGCATTAACATATTTAGGATCAAGTTGGATTGCTTGATTATAGTCACTTAATGCTTTATCTTTTTCTCCAATATCATTATATAATATGGCTAATATATTAAGTGTAAAAGTACTTACCTCTGTTATAATAGGCTAAAGCATATTTTGGATTTATTTTTATAGCTTAATTGAAATTTCTAAGTGCATCATTAAACATTTGTTCATCAAAATAATACAAACCTAGAAATATAAATTTAAATTACCTCTACACATAAATGCATAATAGCAGTTTTCATCTTTATCTATAGCTTAATTGTAATATGAGAGTTCACTATTCTTTTATTTCAAATCTCCCATTATAGTACCTAAACATTTATGTTTATCTCATTACCCATTCTAGAATATCCAATGGCAAAGTTTGGATTAATCAAAACACACCTCTAACAATCTTATAATGCTAGATCAAAATTTTTTTTTCTCCTATAAATAGTTGCTTAAATTATCAGATCTAATTAATACCCCGTTAATAATAACTTTCAGCATTATTGTTATTGATAAATATGCTATAATTTATATCTTCCAACGCCTTATCGTATAACTTCAACTGCTCATATAATCCACCTAAATAGATATTTAAAGATTGAACTTCTTAAAGTATAGGCTTCTGCAAACTGAGGACAAAGATTTAAGGCATTATTAATTTCTAATAATGCTTCTTCAGTTCTATAAGTTATCTTAAACTCCTAAGAACGATTTCATTTAATAATTTAACCTAACTTCTTGAATAATGTGCTATTGCACCAGCATTCTCATTTTCGTTTAAACTGTTGTTGCTCATTTTGAGATGTATCCAAATTTTTTTTAATAAAATAATTATAAAATTTAGGATATTCAAATTTGGTTAAATATCAAAAGTTCTGATAAAAAAAAAACATTAAAATTTGTATTTTTGCAGAAATCTATTTAGAGTTTTTTCAGCCATATATCTCCCATTTAATCTTTATTCTTAGGGTCTATATATATGAATCACTAAGAACTAAATTAATTGATGAGGATGCCTTCTTTCTTAATTAAAGAGGCATAATTCAATTTTTTTTCTTAATTTGAGTATTTTTCTATTAATGCAGAATTCTAATATTTCTGATTATTAATTATCCTCTTTATCAATATAAATAGAAAATCAAAAATCTGTTGCGTAGAGCTCAAATTAAATATAATTAATATATTAATAAATTAGAATTATGTTTGAAGTAACTAGATAGTTTAGAAGATTGTAGTTAAATATATATGACTAATATAAAGATTAATATTCTACAATAGAAGAGCTCCCAAAAAGCAGGATTAAAGAGCAAACGTAGTGAGACATCTGCCTTTGCTTTTATTTCCCCTTTCTTTTTTCCTTTATATCTAATTTCAATTGCTGAAGAGAAAGCCTAGTTTTTATACTATTCTTTAATCATATTGTATTGAATATTGATTATAAAAATAGTAAAATAATACTACACATCAATCCAAAAACTAAGAAAAAAAAAACCCTCCCATCCAATACCTTAGGGGTTATCTCCTAAACGGTAGACTCATTCTTGCCCTTTGACTTTATTGCTCTACTAAAGTAAAACTGGCAATTTTTCGGAGGCCTACAAATTCTAATTAAAAATGAGTTGTATACATAAAATGAAATTTTGGATATGTGAAAATTTTCTCCATTTCCTTGATA